CGTTTATCCCCACTCATTTTCACCGAAAGCGTAGTGGTTTTGTCTGGTAGAAAAAATAATAATAGATCATATCTGCGCATGGCTCAGACTACCCTACCATTATCTACGATTAAGGATTCTCGATAGAATCCGAAAACTCTTGTTCCAGTGATCGCCTCTTCTGAACTGCTTCCTGGAACTCGCATATTCACTTCTATTGGTAAATCCTAAGATATTTGTTAGCCCTACCCAACTCTACTATTTTCATTATCAGTGAAATTGTACAGGGCCGATGATTAATTACCGAAAGCGTATGTTTGCCAACTAGACTTCTCAAGCAAAAAATGTTTACTTTGATGTTCACAGTTTAACCTGCCCTAGACGTTCATTTTGAACAAATTGTATACCTTTCTGCACCCGACTTAACCTTAATGACTGTGTGTAGCACTGAACCATGTAAAATTTTAATTTTGGATACTTCGTAAGAAATTTCAACCACCCGAATTGGCCAAGCTAGCTATATCGAGACCAAGACAGGTCACCCACATCCTGTTTTCGTCTTAGCGCATCTTGCGTTGTTTATTATATTTCCACTCACAAATGGAAGACGAACCAAGCCTTATTTCTATGTAATGGACGGCCAGCCGAAGTCTGGAGTTCCTTGACTGGTTTATTCGTTTTCGATGCTTTGTATAAAATAATATTGGATGATTGGAAACCACCTCAGTAAGCTTGAGCCAGAGCGTCTATTTTAAAATCGTTCTAGTTTAACGTGAGGCAGCTCTGCAATTGTGGTTTCTTGTATTTTGAAGTTACTTGTTTCTGATAGAGGAGAATATACGAGTTCCAGGCAGCAGTTCCGACTTGGTGACTTGTATTCTCCAACGAAAGTTACACGTCTGTGCCGTGAGTGTGCTGAGAGTACTAAAGTTATCACATTCAGTCCCCTATAGGATGGGAAAGGGAAAGACCAGTAGAAGACATGGAAAGGGTAAGACCAGTCCGAAGACATGACTGCCAGTTGAAGAAGGAACTAAGCCGAACAAACCAACGTTCCTCCTTCTCTCAAAGGG